CGGCGGCATGTTCAGAGAGCCGTAAACGCTCTGTCCGCCATCGGCGTAATGCTCCTGTGTGTGTAGGTCGATCGTATCAGCTATATGCTCCGCAAAAATCAAGAATCCAGCCGCAAGTTATGCGCGAGGTGCTTGGCGCGAAAGATCGCCTCGTTTCAAGCCTGCTGGACCGCCGAGGGGAACAGAAAATGGAAAGCCTCTGAGGAGCTAAGAACTCTGGCAATCGAATCTCCGAGCAAGAATATCAAGAACATTTCGATTGGCCACATGTCGGGCACGCCTATTCGCTGCGCACCCGCCGGGGGAAAGCACCCTCGAAACCAAATAACAAAATGTGTTTCCGAAGAGCCGAGAACACACCTCCGTCCGCGGAATGGGGTACTGTACATCCTTGACGTTGTTTACTCACCTTCGAAGTTCCTGTTTACGCTTGTAAGAGGTAGCCGGGCGTCTCGCAGCTCGAGAACCACGTCAGTTCGTGCTAATAAGGCAGGAAGGATCCTGGAGAATTGCGTCATATGTCCAGGGTACCATGACTGAGGCGGAGGTAATGGTGGAGGCAAGAAACGCGACAGCATCGTGGTAGGTCCGTGGGATGGAGGTCTAGACGATCATAGCGTCAGTGTATGTCACTTAGTCGTTTGCGATCGTCACAATGCGTGCCGGCACTGAGCAGCCGAGCACGCAGGAGAGCGCCGGATCACTGCAAAAAGCGAGGTATACAGCCGTGCTTAAGTTTGACGTACATTTCTGGCCCGAGAAATAAGAGGGGAGGGTACCCTTTGCCACGTTGGTTACTTGTGCAATTCAACACGATAGCCGCGCCGGGCTGGTGGAATAACCCAATATGGAAATCCTGGACTGGAAAGTCATCGATCACCAACCTGTCAAAAGACGCGACGGGAGTTTGGCGAGCGGTGTCCTCCGTTGATACTGTATCACTCTGATCTGGCCCTTCCCACCACTCTATGAATCAAAGCGGGGCGCGGGGTTTGCAAACATTTCTATCAATTCTCCCTGTAAATCACAGGCGTACGTTGAGCAGTAGTCTACTTTCGAAGGAGAAATACAAAGAAATACTAAGATGATTGTTCAACGTTTCCCAAAAGTTGGAAAGGGATACTGGCTGCAGTGGTAAAGAAGGCGTATGAAATACATGTGGATAGTACTGACGTGTGAAAGATCGCAAAAGCTGGCCAACATAACAAGTTGAAATGAGGGGGATATACATGAGAACGCAGAGCAACCGGAACAAATGAGATCCAAGGGTGAAAGCAAGAACAGATAAGGAAAACAGAAACAAAGGGTAAAACGATAAATATGAAGGGATACGATAAGCGGTAAGCACTGCCGACCGCAGCCCAAAACCGCAGCACCAATCATCGCTTGTAAGCTAGGCTAGGCTATGTAAGGTAAGAGAGATGTGAGGCTCTGACTCAGGGACTGAGGAGGAACATGACGCACCAGTTCAGACCCAGGAATCCTTTCCGAGACCGATCGCATCGAAACTTTTACCACTCCGAGTCCGCCGCTCTTCCAGGACTTGCACAGCATCAAGGTTTATCAGCTTCTCCGACGGCGGTGGTGACCCCTCCACCCAGCCCTTCCACCCTTTGCGTGCTGCGGGACGCTTTTTACGGGGTCGAGGTCGGAATATGGTTCGGTGATGGTATCATGCGACTCGTCCAGGTCGGAGTCGTCTCCCGGAGTGTGTGGTCTCTTGGACGATGTCCGAGACGTGCTAGATGAGATGAGGGGCCCGGTGTCGTAGGTGGAGAGGAGGGCATAGGTGGTGGCGTGACCGACACAGAACGCTGTGTAGTAGCGAGGTGCAACACCGGCCGGGAACCCCAGGCTGACGAAGACGAGGGATCAAAAAGGAAATCTTTTGAATGTAAGGGGGCATCGGCGATGGGGGGAACAGTATCGAGGTGAGCGCCCAATTCACCATTTACGGGCTCATCCTGGGCCGATTTGGCCCTTTTCTTTACTCTTTCGCGCGCCTTTTTATCCTTCCGCCTTTCCCGCTTCAAGTCTTCTCCAGACTCCACAGGGGCATAACGAGGGACGCCATTCAGAAGACTGGTGAGGACGTCCCTTGGCGGGCGAGGGTCGAAATCGCCCGCGAATACAGAAGTAGCGGTGCGACGACGACGTTTGTGAGGTGGAATAGTCGAGGGATGGGTAGGGAGAGTAACGGCCATGTAATCAGGGTAAGGATGGTTGTGGGGGGATATATATCGCAGGAACTGGGTGGAGCGGTGAGCGTGGTGGCTAATAAACAGACAGTGGAACGCCGGCTGTTATACTCAAACGGCAGTTTATGAAACGTAAATAAATAGACAACACGTGGTTTTGTTTACCATTTCCCACAATTGATAACCTCTTTTTTATTTATTATTTGTTAGTCAGAGAAGCTCCGATGCTCCATCTGCTTCCATTTCTTCTTTTCTCAGGGTTTTTCCCCCCACTCACGTCCCATAAGATCTTATCTCGTTTTCAGATAACTATTATTTTTCTGGCTTATTGTGGTGAAACAGAGCCTCCCTTCTCAGCCTTGTCTGGGCCCCTGGACGCAATTAACCCAGTTTTATCTCAGCTTCCCCCTACTTCCACACTCTGTCTCCCGCGTTCCGCCTCCGTTGCTGTGGAGACACAATTGTACAATGCAGCGCCTCTTGTGGATCTCATATGCCCGACAATCCGGCAGACTGGCACATCCCCTTACTGTCAGCGCGGCTAACCGTCTTTGGGCTTTGAGCGCTCTACCTTCCTCAGTTGCACCATTGGGCCTAGAAAGGCCTCGGTTTCTTCCACACTCATTTCCCTGAGTCAAACCTACCAGTACCCGATTCCGGAACCAAAAATCATTCCGAGTGACTCGATCAGGTAGTCAGGCGATTTTTCGACTCTGAATAGGTGTCAGTGCGATTCTTTGATACATTCCGCCACCGGAAGTTCCCAGAGCCACTCCGCGGCGTGACCCGAGGAGGATCCGTCGTCCATCATAGCGCACATTGATCGCTGGGCGGAGACGACTGCTATTCTTAGCTGATGCTCTTCTCACACTCTGCGCTCGGGCTTGGGAACTCACGAACTACACATCACAAGGAGTCAGCGACTTTTGCGAATGCAGGCGTACAGTATAGTATGGTGCATTGCCTACAATCCATGAATTCATCACGCTCTCATCAACAACTTTGGATCTGTCAATCAGTGAGTCACTCGAGCAAGGAATTCTATGCGGAATGGCTGCTTCTCTGTGCCCACTGGAGGGCTCTCTTTTAGTACACTCTCGGTATTCTCCCTCCACACAACTCCATCGAGTGATATATGTTCATGTTGGTCGATCGCTGCTCGTTCTAGGCAACTTCAAGCATCTTGCTCTTTGCCTGTCAAACCCTAAGAATTCCTCCAGTTTCAGCACGGGATGGTCATTTGTCAGACCCTTTCCTTTTTCTGCAAGCGCCCCACTGTTGTTCCGCTCTCCCGTGACCTAGATCAGCTCGCACCTTGTCCAACTACGGCAATGCATCAGCGTCGACTCTCTAGGCTATCTCCTGGGCTATCTCCTTTGCCTTTGTTGTCAGGGGAAATAAAAGAAGAATTTTGAATTTGTGGCCGTATCAGCAGATATTCTGATCCAAGTTGACCGCTGGAGGTAGCAAACACGAGGATGGTCTCTGGGCTCTAGGGTAGTGGGAACTGTGCTTGTTGGGCTTGCCTCGTCTGATTCTGGACTTGCCGCACCGCACTCGAGGCATCCCGGCTGTGCAACAACAGCCCTCACGGGCGTCCTCCTTTTCAGGTAGACCGATCCAGAAAGCCAAAGATCCACCTCCTCTACGCGCTTGCGGTTGTGCGTAAATAAGGCGATGGCAGCGAAAATGTTGGCGCGCAACACAATCTGTCAACCGATTTTTTTTAATTCCGAGTCAATCACCCGCAGCCTTGCGGTATCACGTATCGATATCTACACCTGCGATGCCCAACCTTAGCGTCGCTTGCAAAGCTGCCCTCAACTAGCAGGTTCAAGTGTGGCTCGGCTTGGCGATCGGAGCAACTCACGTGCAGTCGATCAAGAACTTCCACCCGAACGGTACAGCTGGCTTGGATGTACTTCACGGCGACATGAATAAGGTAAGGTCAGGACGATTGCAAGAGAAGTTGGATCTACCACGTAAGCCCCTCAGCCCCAAGGTGCACTAAACCGGAACTGCCAAATAAATAATAAAAGCAAAACTTAAACTACAACACAACAACGCAGCAAGTGAATTCGGCTCAAGAAAAAACTTTGGCTTGGGCCCGGAGCAATAAAAGAATGGACAACACAACAAAAATCGCTCCACACAAGAATAGCCTAGAGGCATCCGGACTATTGTTGCGGCCGAGTCCGTGGGCAGGAGGATTTCATTGTTTATAATTATTTCTCTCTCCTCGTGCTATCAACTTGCCCGGAGCCGCAGCATTCGGACGGACCAACAACGGTTCGCAGCAACGGTTCGCCACGTTGGTAAATCCGCCGATAGCCGTGGCGACGCAGGCTATTGACCTTATCTACAATCGCTTGATGCGTCTTGGCTGGATGGACGGACCAGTCTTCACATCGATGTGGCGTTATGTGTCACATGTAAGGTTCTTACATCTGGTGGCGATTGAGTCCGCGGAGAGGGGTGACGGTTAGTAGGTTGGGTCTTCCATCACTGCATCACCAGTCCATCCGGTATTTGGACTAGATAAATCTAAGATGACTCGCATTTATGACTCGGGCCGCAGACCGGCCGCCTCTTGTTGGTTTGAGGTCTTGTAAGACTTGTCATGTGTTTCCCGACCCCGCTCGCAATTGACGCCTAGACCCCAGAGAAATACACAAAAAAAAATTCACAAAAGAACGCACAACGGTGTTTTGGCCGGAGATCAAATCAACAGCTAATTAGTACCCTTCCGCTCGTGGCCCTACTTCGAAGGCGCTCCGTGTCCGATACAGAAACCAAAAAGGATTCCCATTAGCCGACTTGAACGACTGACCTCGTCATTGGGTAAGCGGGCCATAAGCCGGTTACTAGTGACGCGCTCTACCAACTGAGCTAAACGGGAATATGTGAGGTCACTACCATGTGATCCATATATCCTGCGTTGTCTTTGGGTCGCGATGATCAACCTGTTGTAGTACTCGTCCTCTGTTTGGAAACTCCTTTCTTCATCCTCACCGCCGCTAATACGTACTTAGGCACTCTGTTGGAGTGCCAATCTCACTGCTCACCACGACGGGCACGTACATCCGCAACAGCCTCCCTCCCTGCGGTGCCAAGCACTGGCACACCACCGTGATCGCACGAATCAGAAGACGCTCCACCCCCAGGACTAGTAAACCCTAGTCTCTCACCCATAGTTTTGAAACCGGTACATTTAGCCGAAGCAGTACTGACTGTGCACGGTGTAGCTCGAAGGAAGAATACCTATTCCGCCCTCTTCATCATTTGTGTATATGCCACGGTGCCCTGCCACCACCCTACGAAGCCAAGACCCATGAAGCCGTGCATACACCCCCAAACGATTTCGGGAGTGATCTTGTACCTAAAAGTCAAGACGTAAGATCAGCGCAGGCCGGAGTGACGGCGTGAAAACACGTTACTAACGCTTCGAAGAAGGGGCCTAGTGTGAACGGGATGAAGCGAGGGGCTTGGAAGAGAATGGTCGATAAAATACTATGGTACACGCAAAGGCCAATGGCAACTGCTCGTTTCCCGGGAAGGACCTCTGGAATGTCCGTCTTGGTTCGTAATCGCATCATCTATATATGCATCGGGACAACTCACCTGGTAGGGAATAGCAGAGTAATGCGACGATACAAGTACTCAACATCAGCGACGCGTACATCTTTTAAAAGTAAAGTTAGAGTAGCGCTTTCTATATTCGGATGTTTCAACGCACCTTTAGGACGACAATCGTGGTGTTATTGAGCTGAAGGAAAGGAAGGGTGCTAGGCGCCCAGATCCCTTGGATGGCGAAAGGGACCTCCATGGCGATGTGAAGGAGGAATACCGAAGAGCTGAGGCGTTGGACTCGATGAGCCTTGTGCTAAAAATAACATCTGTGCAAAACGTACAGAGGAGTTCGGCCTGGCATGTTAGACATGGTGGGCGTTGGGGGAGAAGAGGTGAAAATGTTGGTATTTCGTAACCATCCAGGGACACGCGTCCTGATCTCAGATCTGCACGTTTCATCGTTATCTACCTTATCTTCCCAGCAAGATGGTTCCATTTCAGCTGATGGCTATACCGTACTTAGCTCCAGGGACCTAACCATCACTTCGGCGGTAATTGTGCTCCGCTGAAAGGAAAAGAAATAACGGAATTCTGGCACCCTCTGATCGACAATTTCTCAAAAACCGCATTATTTCAGAAAAGAAGACTGCTTCTCGAACCGATCCTCACCGACATCCAGAGCGGGATCGGGTCTGCCTCCTCAAACCCACTGGTAAAGCTCGTAAAGCACGCCGCACTTTCGCGATCCTGTGACAGACTGCCAGTGACATGCTGGAACCATACCGATATCTCCCGCAGTACTCGGGGCCTGTTTCCGCAAGCTCTTTACCTCTGATTTGAGAGCATTCCCGCAGCAGTTAACGTGCATAGTAACCGTGACCATGTTTCCTACCCCTCACTACCCTCACTGGTATTAAGCCCTGGAATTAAAGTTACACTATCTGGTGGGAGTTTAACTCATTTCGACAGGGATGTTGCGTAACTAACGTGCAACGTAGTGTCCTGTACCTCATAAGTGAAAAAGAAAGTGGGCACACACCGCCTTCTCAAGATCTCGCTAGATCCACTCCGGCCGCACAATAAGCTGTCCCATTTGATGTGAACTGGCCCAAATATTTGATTTTAGAAGCCCACAACCCACAGCTTCAAGGTCTCTCGAGTAAGCTACTTGATACACCACGGAATGCGCCGCTATGACGATGCCGTCACCGCACCATGTCCGATTTTCCCGACGTTTTGATGGCCGGCCACTTGCTCTTTAATTTCAGCCCTGCATAAGACACTCATAAGTGGTGTAGCGGCGGCGGAGAGGAGGAAGTTGATGGACCTTGGCGGCCGATGTGCGAGCAGGCCTTATCCTGGATGGAGTTCTCTCTACGTGCGACACACTTGTTGATAGGCTTTCGGGAGCACCAAGCACGAATTCTCGGGCTGATGGGTGGGCCCGAGAAGACTACGATGCGGGAAAGAACGGAAGTCGAGGCGCTTAGGGCGAGCCGCCCCGACCTCAATTGGTCGATCGCTCACAAGCTCGTGGTGGGTCTCCGTGTCCCCGTTTAGCCTTTCTTAATGGCCTATGTCTACCCCATCCCTACGTGATGTGCGCCAGAAAGATGGCGCGGGGAATGTCGCGGGCCGGATATATTGTAGACATTCTCACTTCGGAGCACAGATTTTGGGTGAAAAAAAAATCCGGTCGTCTGCGTACACCTTCCTGTACATGACGATCTGGGAAATTGGCAGCTCGCGGGAGACAATTGAGAGTATATGAGTAGGCGAAAGAACATTTGCCTCGACTCACATTCGACGTATGAGTTCGGAAAAAAAAAAGATCGGCCTATAACGATTGCGAGTGGGCGGAGGGATGTCCCCACCTCACCGTTAGGTAGCCACCAGCAGAATAAAGAATGCATCCTTAAATTACCTCCACTATGAGCAGACACCATCTAGGGGTAGTCGCGATCTCTGGACATATCATATTGCAGTATCTTCCGCCAGAAAAGTCGGAGAGGTAGTAGGTACCGTCACGGCAGATCTGAACGGCTGCAACTGTAGCCAGACAGTATTACCTGGTTGTTCAAGCGAAAAGCTTGCCGCGGGATCCCAAATCGGTAACACAGCGAGACACAAAAGAATCCCGACACAGAGCCAGTGAATAAGGTATCTGACTCTTGGCCGGATCGCATATGGGGTTTCCCTTCTTGAAGCGGGATGGAAGATGATCACGGGGACCGGCAAAGATACTATCGGCTCAGGCGAGAAGAAAGGCAAGGTAGAAAGACACTGAACGTAGCCAGGGACTGAAGTCGGTTGGAGTCAAAGACGTTGCGGGAGAGGAAACCAAAAGATCAATCCAGTCAGCGTCAACTCACAGACCACATAGAGGAAAAAATTGGTCAGGAGACCATACAAGGTTGCACATACGTCGCGACGACGCTATAAACACAAATCCTCTTCGTCGAGAGGTCCACTGCAAAATATCTAATCATCTTCGCACCGAGAATGAAAGCGACACCCAAGCGGCCTAGCAAAGATCAAGAACACTACTCTGCCATATCCTCGTCACCATCGTCACCGTCATATGTTGAACCCCGGCGCCATGGGCCAAGCTCGCCTTGATCAACGTCACGTTCTAAATCGATATCTTCTGCGCCATCTCGCCAGACGTCCTCGCTTATAAACCCGCGTAGTCGTTGCACCTCGTAGCGGAGAAGCGCCATTTCGTTGTCACGTCTAGAGATTTTCTCCTTGAGTAGGCGAATGTACTCGTTTCCACAACGCAGGAGTTGTAACTTGCTGATGCCGCGATTCGGGCCGTCTGCGTTGCCTCTAGGTGGCCCACGGGGAGGCATGGCCCCTGGTAAGATTGGCTCATCGGGGAAGCCTTCCTCAGAGGGTAGCGGGATTGGAGGAAGCAGCGTGCGTAGGTCATCGAACGTAGTCTTAAGTGAATCACGACGCTTCTGCTCAGCCGCTTTGTGTGACGATTTACGGAGGACAGGCGAGGGCATTGATGACGAGGCAAGTGTATTTGAGGAATACACATTCCCGGCTGTGCGTGTCAATTAGTCTCATCTTTCATGAGAGAAAGCACTCGATTTACCAGGTAGAATAGGTTTCAAGCTCGGGCTCACCAGTGAGAGCCCATTGCCTTTTTTGGTTGGAGTTGCGGAAGTTGCCGAGTCTTTCCCACGACCGGCGGACTTACTCTTGGCATCACATTTTGTGACATTCGTGGGAGGGGGGGAAAGCCCACTGTTCATGCCCAGCCCCCCAAGATTCATGATGCTTGCAGGTGTGACAGGCGTTATGTTATGAACACGGCCCGTCGGCGATGTACTTGCGACAACCGTATTTTTTGAAGGAGGTGATGATCCAAACTCGGCCTGCGAAGCTGGTGCGACTGGGGGCGGCATAGACAAGTCGACGGGCGAAGGGGTATCGCCGGGTATTTCACCACTGCTGCCGCTCTTGCGTGCCCCGGCGCGCGTGGAGCGCAGAAGAGGTGTTGATGATGCGGATTTTGTGCCCCGCGAAACACGCTTCGTGGAGTTCGGGGTGGGATGGACACGCGGCGAGGGTGACGGACGTTGTCTGGCGAGTTTTGCCTGTTCCTCTTCATGAGGCGAAGCGGTGCGTTTACTTCGCCGTTGCTGGGAGGAATCGGGCTTGTATGCGTCCATCCAGGGGCTCAAAGGTGAAAGATCTAAATCTAACTCTCCAGGCGAGGAGAGTGGGAGAGGTGGCGTCGTATTAAAGACCAGATTGGCCGGTGCGGTGCGGGCATCGTGCGCAGGCGACATATGATGAGGAGGAAGATGCATATCTGGAGGGAGATGTGACTGGCCGTTGGGTCTATAGTGCGCGGTATCAACATAGCTGAGGGTAATGGGGGAGATGTAGTCTGTATTCGGGCTAGATTGGGCATGGAGCTCGCAGAATTGACTAAAGCACAGTTAGTCGTGTTTGCCCGGAGTGATGAGTCGGAGGACTACACGCACTGGGTGTGGGAAGACCAAGAAAAGGGTGCTGCGCTTTCTGTCGGTCGCCTGTCCCATCAATGGAAGATGTACTCTCCTGGCCATTCAAGAATTCGAGCTAAAAATAACGATGGGCCCAACGCCAAGTGGGTTAAGACGCGAATCTAGGGGATAAGATCGGCGAACCTGTTGCTGAAGAATCTGGTTCTGTAACTGCAACTGTTGCAATTGATTCAGCTTGAGGCGTTGCTCGAGCACGAGTTGCGGGCTATACTGGCCCTGGCCCATCGATCCAGATTGTTGGCCTTGTATGCCCATCAGCTGTGTCACGAGTTCGAAGTCGAGGGGG